GAAAATTAAGGAAATCTGATACGAAATGATCTTTGGAAATAGAGGCCTATATATCAGGCATGGTAGTACACACCTATAATCCCAGCTATGCAGGAGGCTAAAGGAGGAGGACCTCAAGTTCAAAGCCATCCTGGACAATTAGTGAGACTATGCCTCAATTTTTAAAAAGGGGGGGGAGGGTATACATCAGTTGTAGAGTACTTAGCTAGCATGCCGGAAGCCCTGTGCTCAATCCCACGTACTAAAAAAGAAAAAAGAAATACAGGCATGCCTTCAGTGCCCATCCATGCCTTGCCTCCCTTATGCCAATGATTCTTCCTCTCTGAATACCCATCTTAAATATCACCTTGACTTGTAAATAATTTATATGAAATGATATCTGAAGTTCCATGTCTTTACCTCTTTGAACCTTTTTATTACAGGTTACTGTTATCTTTTGCTAAACATTATCCAACTTTATGCTCARTAGTGTAGCATCATTTCCAACCTGTTTGGATAAAGGTCTGTGGCTAAATTGTTATTGTCAGAATAAAGGACCTGTAATATAAAGAAAAAATCAGGGGATTAGGGCTTAGCTTAGTAGTAWRGTGTTTGTTTAGCATGAATAGAGGCGTAGGTTCTATCGCCAGTACAAAATTAAAAATAAAAAATTTAGCAAGATCCTCCTAATGCCTAATCTTCAACAACAAGGCAGTAAGTTAAACATAAAACAAAGCTATATGTTTAAGATATGCAGAGAAATGATTTYAAAGTATATACATTTTATATCACTAAGAATGGTCACTCCTAAGGAGAAGACTTTAGGCACCAGTGGTAGTCAAGAGAGATTCAAATTTAAATGAAAACATAAGCATATTATTATATAATTTAAAATTTTTAGTAAAAAGAAATATATTTTCATTAGCAGCTAAACTTTTGCTTCCCAGGAAACTTTATCTCTTCAAAATGGTTAAACTAATAAAAGACTTTGATAATAGGACAAAGTGCATGTTTCCCTGACTTCTTACAGTACTTAGATATGGTGAAACAAAAGAATATAGTTTTGCAGGGCATGGTGATACATATCTGTAATCCCAGTAGCTCAGAAGGCTGAGGCAGGATGATCACAAATTTGAGGCCAGTCTCAGCAACTAAGCAAGGCCTAAACAACTTAGTGAGACTCTATCCCAAAATAAAAAATAAAAAGGGCCTGGGATGTGATATGGCTCAGTGGTTAAGCACCCCTGGATTCAATCTCTAGTACCCACCCCCTCAAAAAAAATTTTTTAAATATATGGTTTTTCTTTGTTCCTATGCAAAATGTTTTTTCCCAGTGAATATTTGAGTTTGTATCTGATGCTTCTGGGATTCCAGGTATTTGTTACTTGCTGATGGGCAATTAGTTCTTTACTGCCTCTTTCCCTCCTGCACTTCATTTTTAATATTGTTGCTATTCTATTGTGAGTTAGAAAGTATATCAATATTAACTGAGAAAATAGATTATGGTGAATTCATGGARAGAGTGTTGATGCATTAATTTTGAGAGTTGTCCTAAAGCTTTTTTGCTTTTCTTGGAATTCTGTGCTTGATGTAGAATTCTTGTTTATTTAATAAATAATTTAGAGTACTGTTAGAAATTGGATTTCTGATGAATAAATCATACCCTTTAAGAGATCCAGTTCAAGTAACTTTAAAAACCATTTGAATTTTCATAAATGTTTAGTTAATGATTCATCATAAAATAATGGTAGCTAGGAGGTTGTATGTGTATATTTGGTTTTGAGTCATCTAGGAAAAGGAAAATTTCAAGCTAGTCAGTTGTGGTTTTCACTGAATCTTTTTAAAGTAATGAACTGTTTGTTTTGTCCATCACTATGGCAACTCCAGCTAGTTTTTCTCCTAGAGAAACTTAGTGTGCACCAATCATTAGACTGTTGAACATATTAAGGTATGTCTGTTAAAAGGCAGACAGTGCTTTGTGCTTTCATATAGTTTGCAGATGTCTGTATTAATTTGTGTTCTTTTGAAACATCCAGGTAGCATTAACCCAAAATAACTAATCAGTTTCTCTTAAGAGTAAAAAGGATGATTTCAAAGTTTGCACTGTTAAGTACTTCGTTTTTCTGTCCCCTGCCCCTCCTCCAACTTGACTGAGATTGATAAATCATTTTCATGGCAGTGTTTCTCTAATTTTCACTAGTGGACTGAGACACAGATTAGTTTGTCATTAAGTGGTCCTTAATTTTAGATCTCATTTCTAAAGACATCCATTCTGTGGTCCATACTTTTTTTTTGGCGGGGGGGTGGGGGTGGGGGTGGGGAGGCACAACCAGGATTGAACTCAGGGGCACTCAACCACTGAGTCACATCCCAGCCCTATTTTGTATTTTAGTTAGAGACAGGGTCTCACTGAGTTGCTTAGGGCCTCAGCCTCCTAAACTGCTGGAATTACAGGCATGTTACATGTCAGAATGTTCAAACTGCAAATGTTTTTCCTTTTRTTTATTTAAAGTTCTAATCAAATCAAAAGGATGTTCTTCCTTTTGCTTGTTTAAAGTTTTCAGGGTTTTTAAAAATATGTATGTGCATATTATCTATTTTTTACCTTCTTGAACAAATTTATTTTCAAATTAGAATTCTTGAGATATGGTTGCCATTCAGAAATTCTGGATTTCTCCTTTTTTAACAATTTTAATGTCACATCATTTTATCCTTCACATAACCCAATTGTGCTAATTGCTCCCAGTCTGCTAAATTTATAAACAGAAAGTACCTTCTTTTTATCAGGTTGTTGTTCAAATCTCTTAATGTCCATAAAAATATGGTAAAGAGTTTTCAGGCAATAGTATATTTTTAGTAATTATCTTTGGTTTCCAATTGCAGAAGGGGAAACATAACTAACTTTCTAGATTGTGAATATCTTGTTTTACTGTAGTTTATCTCAAGTATTACTACAGAGTATTTTATTTATGGGTAYTCTTTGAGAATTTTTGTTTTTTTCATATCGACACTTTAAGTAACCCTATACTAATATACCTGCTAATTTCTAGAAGTGAAAACATTAATGTATTATTGATTAATTAGAATGTTAAAGAAACTATTTCTTTAGCCCAGGCAATATCACCTTCTGTCCCCTTCATGACCCACCTTTATCTTTTTTTTTTAATTTCATTTTATTTACTTATTTGTTATAGTTGTAAATAGACAGAATGCCTTTATTTGTTTATTTTTATGTGATACTGAGGATTGAGCCCAGCGTGCCTCACACATGCTAAGCAAGCGCTCTGCCACTGAGAGCTACAGCCCCAGCTCCCCCACCTTTATCCTTTAGGGCTTATTCCACTAAGCTTCTGCTACTTCCTTTGTAGCTCCTCCCTTGTCTCAATAATAGTAAAAATTCTCATTAATTCATAGCCTGCAGAAAATATGCCTGTGGTGTGACATTAAATTCTATAGATGAGAAAGAAAATCTTATTTCACAAATGAATTCCTGGGTTCCATCCAGGGAAACTGTTTTGTTATAGAGTTTATGACTCATCATTCCAGACTTTTGTAATAAAAACGACAATTCTTTTCCACTTTGGTAAAAGGAGGGTTCTGGTTTCTTATTAGTATCTTTGTCTGGAATATTAGACTTGCCATTTGGATGCTTCTGCTATTTGATTTATGAAGATTATAGTTAAATCAGCTTTTAATTCTTCACTATAACTGCATTACATTACAGGTACTTCTTAAGTACCTTTTAAACTTTTAGGTTTCTAGTTAAAGGAGAGTAACTTTTTCTTCATAAACTTAAATTCAAATAATTGTGTGGGGGCAATCCCAGCTGCTTAAGAGGCTGAGGCAGAAGAATGGCAATTTTGAGGCCAGCTTGGGCAGGGCTAGGTGTATAATTCAATCAATAAATAAATTAGTATGGTTACTTCCATAGGCTTTTAAAGAACAATGAAAAAAGTAATCTGTGTGTAAGAGGAAATAAACTAATTATTAAAAACTTATTTATTTTACCACCCACTATGAATTTATCTTGAAGTAATGAAATCAAAGTTTATAAAGCTGTTTTTTCAATTCCCTGTCACTTTAGACCCTTTTGTGTTTTGATAAATTGCTTTGTTATGCATTACTACTTTCAGTTGTTAAAGYAGTGCTAATAGTTGAAATTTGAGTATGGACAGTGTAAGCCTCAGGACATCCCACAGCCTTGGCCATAAGCAAAGGAGAACAGTGGTTTGCCTCTCCAGATGAGCTGGGATCATCTGTTGGCTGGGATCACCTGGATAAAGCACTTATACTTGTATCCCTGGTTTAATATAATGTTCATTAAGTAATATATCATTACTTAGCTTTTTTATTAATTAGAAAAGCAGTGTAGTGTTTAAGCAAAATTTTTGTTTTAAAGATACAAACATTTCAAACATATTACTGACAAATTTTATTTTGGATTTTTTTAGGACCTTGTTCTTTAACTCTGTAGTATGGTTTTAGTTCTTCCATGATAAGTAAGGATGTTCATGGGAAATTGTTTAATGTGTATGACAAATATTTTAGTGGCCTTCTGGAAAGTGTAAAAAACATTGCTTTGGAGAGCATTTTTTTGCCTTATGTGATCAGTTATTTTTCCCACTGGGTTATAACTTCCTTAAGAACAGGGACTGTGTTCCCCATCTTTAAATTCCCAAGAACTCTTGCTCTTTTTTGTCTTACTCATACCAGAAAGTGAAAACTGAGCTTCAGAACCATCACCTCTCTTTGTTATCAGTATATTTAAAACCAAATTCAGGGTTAATTCTATAGCTCTTTCTTAGTTTTTTCTTTTCACTTCTTATGGTGTTCTGACATATAGACACTTCAAACATTCTTGGAAATAGCCTGAGCATAAAATGTAAATAGTGTGATTGTTTTTAATTTATAGCCCTTTTTTGTTTGTTTATTTTGAAACTTACCAGAAATTTGTTGAAATACATCATCCCCCACTTTTATTTTTATTTTATTTATTTTTTTATTTTTTTAAATACCACCAGGTATCCGTTACAGCACTGATGTGAGTGTAGATGAAGTAAAAGCGTTGGCTTCTCTGATGACTTATAAGTGTGCAGTGGTTGGTAAGTGATAACCCCTGTTGCTACCTAATAACTGAGGAAATAGGTCTACATAGAGTGTTAATTTTAACATACTATAGAAGTATACCTTATCAGAACTTTTTCTTTAAGTTAAACTCCTTAAGGCTTAAGTGGGGGATTTTTTTATAGGAACTAGTTGGACTTTCTCAAAATATAGATCTTTGTTTTAAATACCTGTCYACCATCTATAAATAAGACCAAGTCATAGTAAAAGGAAAGTAAATACAGTGTTCTTTTAGCAATAGTAGAGAATACTGATTACATTATAACTTGGCTAGCCTTATAATTTCTGTTTAATAAAGTGTTATTTAAAGTATGATCTTTTTAGAAGCGATCAACATGGTTTTATTTCTACAATGTTYCAAAATTAAAATGGTAAAGCATTATACATTTTTAATGCAAGTTGAACATCCCTAATTAAAAAATCTGACATCTGGAATCCTTCAAAATCTGAAACTTTCTAAATATGAACATGGAGCCATCAGTAATAAATTCCATACCTGACCTCATGAGACAGGTCTAGGTCAAAATGCAGACACACTGAAAATACTGTACAAAATTAAGTGGCTGGAGTTGTGGCTCAGTGGTACACTACTTGCCTAGCACATGTGAGGCACTGGATTCGATCCTCAGCACCACATAAAAGTAAATAAATAAAATAAAGTTTTAAAAAAAAGAATGCTTTACCTTTAAAAAAATATATTTCTGAAAAAAGTATTCAGGTAAAAAATATCCAACCTCTTTTGGATAATGCTTTCTGTGTGTTTATTTTTTAAATTTTTATATGAAGTAACAACTCTCAGTCTTTCCTTTCAGATGTGCCATTTGGGGGTGCTAAAGCAGGTGTTAAGATCAATCCCAAGAACTATACAGTAAGTATCAAAGTGATATTTGTAAGCACAATGCATTTACCAAAGAACTTGAAATTTTTAGGCTTCTGTATATCCCTCATTAATGAGATTAATGGTCTTTCGCTGCTTTTCAGAAAAATAGGGAAATAAGTAAATAATTGCCTCATTGAGCATGTTGCCATATTAAAGATCATCTGTGTAACATCGATGTCTTTTCATTTTCTTAGTTGATTAAGAAGCAATTAATACTTGATATTGTTAGGCACTTACATTCACTTTTAAAAATTACTATTATCAAGCTTTAATGTAGGGATCTCTTTCTGGTGACAATACCTTAAGTAATCCTCCTATCAGTATCAAGTTAATTAAAACTAGTTACAGTGCCCGACATAGTACTAAATTAGTGATATCGATACAAACATAATAAATACATATGATTCTGTTCTCTTTGAAGTTCACCATTTAAGCTGGGCATGGTGGCACACACCTATAAGTTCACCATATAAATGAAAATATACAAGGACATGGCCTATAGGGTTCATATTAATACAATTATATCATTTTTCAATTAGTCTTAATTAATATTTAGTTATTTTGGAGCTAGGGTTGTGGTTCAGTGGTAGAGCACTTGCCTCACATGCATGGGGCACTGGGTTCGATACTTAGCACCACAAATAAAAGTATTATGTCCATCTACAGCTAAAAATTTTTTTAAAGAAAGAAATGAGGAATTAATACAAAAGGAAACTGGGATTTGAGGAGCCCTAGTCTATTATCTTTATCTGCATGTATGTGAGTGTGTTTTGTGCACWCACTAGGGATTGAATCCAGGGCATTGCGCATACTAAGCACATACTCAAACACTGAGCTTCATCCCTAGCCACTATAATCTAATTTTCATTCTTTAAAATGGAAATGCCTACTTTATGGATTATACTGACAATTACAGGAGAAGATATATGAAAATTTCTCTCATATACAAAACATGATATGCATCCCAGCTGATTTTATGTCAAAAATACTTTTTATTACTGTATTTTATTGGTTGTCTTTTTTTTTTTTTTCTTTATAGGATAATGAATTGGAAAAGATCACAAGAAGGTTCACTATGGAGCTCGCAAAAAAAGGTTTTATTGGTATGTATTGCCGTGTAAGTTTCTGTATGAAATGGAATTCATAATAACTGACATTTCTTATCTTTACACATGGCTAAATATAGTATATCATAATTCTCTTTCCTTTAGAAACCAGGTTTTATGGTAGATCTCCTGGACATACCTCAGCCTGTTTATGACACATCTTTGATGGAAACATTCTTGTACTCAGTGTGCAGTATGGACAACAAGGAGAGAGTTCTTATGTTTCCAGATATCATAATAAGAGTTAGTTCAGTATAGTGATATTATATCTTCTCTATTGAGACATTCAAAATGGCCCTACTTTGAGACACTGAATAATATTGAAATATTTTTAAGTATAAAAAACAACAGTTTTTAAAATGGTCATCCTTTTGTTCCTAAAGCAATGACAAATCTTATTAATACCTTTTGGAGCTGGGGCTTTTAAACAGGCCTACCTGTCCCCTTTAAAGCAGTGGGAATAGCCAGTCACCATCAGTATCTCTGAGGATACTAATTTTTGTTTGCTTGATGTTTGTTTATCTTCTGTCTATTACGTGTGCTTATGTTCTTTTGTGTGAAATATTTTTGTTTGTAACGTATAAATATTTATCATTTACTCTTCGATGTTTTAAGCAATTTAAGTCTTCATGTTTCTTTTAGTCTAGAAGGCTTCTAGTTTTTTGGAATAAAATGAACAAAATTGCTAAAAAGAATCTTTGCCCTGTTAGCATAAACAAAATAAGACTGACTAAAACAGGGAGAATCCTACTTTTTTTCTGCATTCCTTCCTTTGAGTTTGTTTTTCCTGTGTTCCCYTAACCACTGATAAGTTTCTATGAAATTAAACTATCAATATTTTTTAATTATCCCATTTTTAGGGGAAAAATACATGAAATAAAGAAACTAATATAGAAATAAAATACATAGGTAATGCTAGAACTTTATAAGATTTGGCACAAATTTCATAATTTTAAGGGCAATTGGGATTTTGACATACCTCATACCAGTACTACTATGAACTTGTACATTATTTATAGGAGAAGCATGCTAACAGAAGTTAGTTACCTCTTTCACACTTACGTGAAGTATAAATAAAATCATGTTCAGCCCGATGATAGCCATCACATTTTTATATCATATTACTTCTTAGCCTATTTTAATATAAACTTGTATGGTTTTATATTTTATTCAGTCATATTCATTACTTATATCTARTGTTTTCAATCTAGTTTTATGGATCCTGACAAGTATCTTATGGGTCTAAAAGTTTACTGGGACACTGAAAGGAAGCAAAGCCCCACAATACTAGTTATCTGATTTCTTTGCTTTTGTGCAAAGACCTCATGTTATCTGGTTTCTTTGCTTTGGTGCAAAAATCTCATTAATCCATGATATAACTAAACTAACATTTGGATCCAGAAAGGTTTGTAAATAGACAAAAGGAAGTTTTGTTTTGTTTTTTTTCCTCACTCCTGGGCACACCTCCAAATCTGTTATTTTATGTCTTCCTTTCTGTCACATTTCTTATTGTGACTCAGACCTGAGTCTGCATCCTGACCCTGTTACATTTTGTGAGTTTAGAATTGTTTGACAAATTCTGCAAAAAAGGCAGCTGGAATTTTGATAGCAATTTTATTTCATCTGCAACTCAATTCATGGAACATTACCTTCTTAACTATATTACGTCTTCTAATCCATAAGCATGGAATGTCTTTCCATGTTTTCATCTCTAATTTCTTTCAATGACATTATAGATTTCCATGTAGGATTCTTAACTGTTTTTTATTTCTTCTGATGCTATTGTAAGAGAGATTGGTCTGTAATTTTCTTGTGATGTCTTTATTCAAACTTATAATCAAGGTTTTACCCACCTCATAGAATGAGATAGGAAATGTTCCCTCCTTCTAATTTTTGCAAAAGCTTGTGAAAGGTCAATATTAATTTTTTGTGAGTTCAGGTAACACCTGTGTAAGCTATAAAATTCCCCAGAAGATCCCTGATATTTCCATCTTTCTCATCTCCCTATATATYTCCATATGCCAAAATTAACTATCTTAGCTTTTACTCTTTGCTCATGTTCTGTTAGAGCAATTGCTTTGTCAAAAAGACAAGGCTTCACCAGGCATGGTAGCACATGCCTGTAATCCCAGCAGCTCAGGAGGCTGAGGCAGGAGGATCTCAAGTTCAAAGCTAGCCTCAGCAACAGCAAGGCACGAACAACTCATTGAGACCCTGTCTATAAATAAAACACAAAATAGGACTGGGGATGTGGCTCAATGATTGAGTGCCCCTGACTGAGTTCAATCCCTGGTACCAAAAAAAAAAAAAGACTAGACTTCTGACCTGTTCCCTTAAATATTTGAGAATTTATATGTAATTCAGATGTTACTTGCAATCTGTACGTGCGTATATGTTGATTTTTCCATAAAGTAGAAAAGTCATAAATCTCGCAGTACTTTGTACTTGTGTTTTTAGTTGGGAGAAACTGTTTCATCTTAGCACGTCTAGACTAAGGTAGTTTATCAATACACATTTCTGATTTACAAACTACCTCAGACTTGCCAGTTGGAATTGTTATTCAAGACAACAAAGATTATTATTTAATTCTTAATGTTGCTAAACAAGTATAATACTTGTAAATACGTCTATAAGGATTCAGTAGCAATTTGTCATTTGTACCTTAGAAAAGGAATGTGGTTACACAAATTTTGTACTAACCTGTAGCTAATATATATCACTCCCAAGAAATGGAATGTGAGTGAAGAGAAGCAGTTAATGTCCTTTGATCCATGAATATGACACTACAACATGGCATTAATCCTTCAAGTAGGGGTGCTATGTGGAGGGAGAGTAGTTKAGGGAAATTAGACTTCATAAGAAAGTACCTAAGGAAAGGAAGGGGGACTAGGACATAGAGTGACAGGATGGGGATGTGAAAAGCACACCTTGAATATTTCAAATTGTCTTGTGCCAGTCCTGTATTTATTTTTACTGTTTTGTTTTTTTAAAAAAAAACTTTTTTTTTTTTTTTAATGGGGTGCTGAGGATTGAACCCAGTGCCTCTCACATGCTAGGTAAGCACTCTAGAACTGGGCCACAACCCCAACCCCTATTTTTACTGTTTTTAAGAAGAATATTTCTACCTTTAGAGATAGAAGCCAGCATCATTGAAGAAGTTTTTCAGTGAGCTCACTGGCCATCAGTGTTAGAGCCTTCAGTGTTACCTGTGAGCCAATATCTTGTTATTCTCAAACTTTTAATGTGCTGTGATCTGAGGAAATAAATGTAAAGGCCTAGCCAGGTGCAGTGACACATACCTATAATCTCAACAGCTTGGGAGGCTAAGGAAGGAGGATTGCAAGTTTGAGGCCAACCTCAGCAACTTAGCTTAATGCTTGCAAGAAATAAAAAGGGCTGGGAATGTAGCTCTGGTGGAGCACCTCTGGATTCAGTCCCCAGCACTGCAACAACAATATCAAAAATAAGTCAAAACCTAAAACTTTATGTTCACTAAGCATTGAACAGCAGGTAAAAGCAGCATTCTTCCATAAGTAAAAGTACTACAGTCTTAAACACAGTTACTTCAGCCATATGACTTTTTTCCATCTTTTTCTACCTGATGAAAAGACCTAAACCAGTAAGTAGCATGTTGCTATAGTATTTCATATACATCTATTCCCTAACCATAATAACTCTGTTTTATGTCAGGCAAGATGGTGCTGTTATCTTTAGAGAATTATCTTAAAAACTGGTGCACTGCCCTTTCCCTGTGCTCCCAGGTCCTGGTATTGATGTGCCTGCCCCAGACATGAGCACGGGTGAGCGAGAGATGTCCTGGATCGCTGACACCTATGCCAGCACCATAGGGCACTATGTGAGTATTCCCCAGAAGCCCCAAGGCTTCCTGTATTTGCTCTTCTCAAGAAGAAACAATTCAGCTAATTATAAGGAGAAATTGAGACTCACTGGGGTTTTCTACTCTCTTTAAATCATAAACTTGTTATGCATGTTATTTTGCTTCTTTTTCTCTACTCTTGAACTATAAATGTAGTGAACGTGGATTGAGCTTTTACTTACATGCTGCACTGTACTACACAGTGGGCAGGACCCTCTCCAACCAGGTCAGCACATTTTTCTGAGACTAGAAGGTACATAAAGAAGCATTCTGTGTCGAAGAGCTTTCATTTAAAGAGGAGCTAAGACACATAATCAGATAAAGTATGGAAATAGTGTAATACAGGAAAAAGAATTATGATTTCTCAAAATAGGCTTTCTGGAAGAGATATCTGGATCAGACTTGAAAGTGTGTTTAATGTGAACATCTGGAGATTTGGGGAAATTGAAATAAGGCATATTTATAAAGGTAGTAGAATATACAAGTAAAGAGGTAAGTAAACTACAACAAAAATACTAAGTCCATTGTTGGTTTTACTTAATATTCAGTGGTAAGACTTTGCTGTAACCCTTTCTTAAGGAAGAATAACTTCCTACATGGTACCAGCACCTGTCATCATAGTCTAGGAGCCATTGGTCTAGGCACATAATGGATACCACAGAGAAAGACTCAGTGAGCCTAGACTATATATGTGGGATCAAGGAAGGGGATGAGTTTGAGTTGATATCAAGGAGATACAACTGTGGGGACTGAAAGAAAGAGAGCCACTGAATAGAACAGAAGAGGAAAGGATAACTCCTGTCCCTGAGGGCCCTGGAACCTTGAAAAACAGACACATAAGGATCAGGAAGAAAAGTAGATTTTTAAAAAAACATTCTATCCTGCAAGCACAGCTAAATGCAGGTCAGATATTTATCACCTTTCAAAGCTGTGGAAATAAAGGGGACAGACCAAGCCTTTGGAGGTAAGGTCAGTAAAGGCATCCTTGGAGATGAAGCCTTCTTGCCTATGCATCTAGGGAAAGGGGTGGGGCAAGTGCTTGGGGCAGAAGTCAGCATTTGAATGAAGTGGAGAAGGGAACTTGAGAGGCTGTGGGCAGCTGTTGTAACCAGAGTTGAGAAAGGGAAGAAGGGGATACAAAAGGCCAATAGAGGAGATTGGGCCAGGTTACTGCCTAATATTAAACTATAAGGACTTTGGTCTTTGTCCTGAAAACAGGGAAGTGATGAAGATCTAATTATGAACAAGTTTATGGCACAGCTGAGGGTACACTGAAGCCTATCTCAATATGCAGAGGAGATGGGATAGTTAAGGACAGGAAACTAATAGAAAGGGCCTAGATCCCATGGGATTGTGAAGAGAGGGAAGTAGGGCATGACATATGGCCTCCAYCTAAGAAAAATGGCACTAGAGAAGACAGCATGAAAAGTGACTAGTGACTAATAAAAGGGTTTATGTTGTTGTCTGTATTTATTGGTTATAGACATTCATTGGTGCAAGAGACAAACCATGCAAAATAAACCCATAATAATAGATAGAGCAAGGGAATAAAGGCAGCAGAGAGGGTGTCATTCAAGGACCATAGAAGTAAAACAGGCCTTGGAGGAAAGGACTGTAGAGTTAATGTACTTAGAACAGTYCTCAGCTCTTACTGGGCATAAAAGTAAGTATTACATCATATTAATTATATATACTTCTCTGAAAATAAACAGAAGCAGAATAGATACTTTTGGTTTGGACTGCCATTCCCAAAAGGGACACTTTTCCCTATGTCACCTGTTAATAAGCTGTGAGTATGATCTCTTGTTTGTTTTGAGCAGGACACTCCACTGAATAGCACAAACTAGTAAGCAGGATACCATTATTCATAGCTCTTTCCATAGAGGTGACAGCAAAAGCAAATTTTATGAGGCATTGCCAGCTAAGCCTTGGACTACACTGGTAAAAGTTGTGTTCCAAAACCCAGGCTAGGTGAGGAAGCCATAGTTTTTTTTAACTTGTTTCCAGATGTGAACAGGGAATCTTCTGTCCGGCCCCATCTGGCAGTGCCATGTTGGGGGAGAACATTCCCCATATTCTTTGCCCTGGGCTGCAGGACCATTAGGTATGCTGGGGAGCCTGGCAGTTGGCACTAGGCCTGACCTCAGACAGTATTTCCTTCAGTTTCAGCATTTGCATTTTCACTGTTTAGAAGCTGTTTGGCACCAGATTTGCAGTTCTGTTTTCATAATGTTAATTATTCATGAAAGAAAACTGTGGGAAAACTACTAATTCTGTAGTGCTTTATTAGACTGCTTTTTTTTTTAACTTGCTTTCTTTTTGTTGATAATTATACAAGAAATGAATTCTAAGTTCTCTCTGAAAATATTTAAACAATATAGATAAAAAACAGATCAATTTTTAACTCAGCTACAACACAGTATTGGGGATAGGAATATGAAATGAATTCAACAAAAATACATATACATCCTCAATTCAAAGAGGGGAAAAAGCCAAGCATGGTCGCATATACCTATAATCCTAGTGACTCGGGAGACTGAGACAAGAGGATCGAAAGTTTGAGGCCAGCCATAACAATTTATTGAGACCCTATCTCAAAAAAARGGGCTGGGGATGTAGCTCAGTGGTAAAGTGCCCCTAGTTAGATACCCAGTACCAAAAGAAGAAGAAGGGTAGAAAGTGGGGTGATAAAAATCATTAATCCCCTCTATACTTAAAGAGCTAGCACTGCTACCAAAGGTGCTCTGCAAGCCAGGAACTGTGGTACACATCTGTAATCCCAGCAACTCTGGAGGTTTACAAATTTCACTCTAGCTCAGCAAGTTATAATAAAAGTAAAAAGTACTGGGTGGGGATGTGGCTCAGTGGTAAAACACCCTTGGGTTCAATTCCCAGTACAAAATAAATAAATAAAAATGATGATGTAGCCTAGTGATAAAACACCCCTAGGATCCCCAGTACTACTTAAAAAGGGGTGGGGTATTCTGGGCATGCACCATTGTATCTTGCCTCCATATTCCTATTTTAAAAATTGAGTCTTCCCAGCAAGAAAATTATAGTGTCTCTTTCTGTCTCAGACTGTTTTGGTGACATGCAAGTCTTGTGGTAGATTGTGGTAGACAGGATGCATACTATGACTTAGGGTTTAAAGGAATAATAGCTTTAAGCTGAACAGTCTCATAAATATAGAGACTGATGCTAAATTTCTGAACTGTTTCTCCCAGTGGGAAATATAATTTATTACATTTTCTAGCAACAGAAAGTAAAAGTGAGGTTTTTTTCCTATTGGTCACAGTATACCTTAAATACATTCACTCTCAATACACACATGCTTGGCACACACACTTCTAATGAGAATATTTTTAGTTAGATGAGAATGTGCTTTGACTTATTCATTATATTGATTCATCATAGAACTTAGGATACATTGTTTCATTATTTTGTCTCCTTTTTCAGGATATTAATGCACATGCCTGTGTTACTGGTAAACCCATCAGTCAAGGAGGCATCCATGGACGCATTTCTGCTACTGGCCGTGGTGTTTTCCWTGGAATTGAAAACTTCATCAATGAAGCTTCTTACATGAGCATTTTAGGAATGACACCAGGATTTGGAGATAAAACATTTGTGGTTCAGGTTTTTAAAAATAAATTAATTTTCTTTATAACTGATGAACAATATGTGGTGAGGGTTGGCTTTGCTTTGTTTTTGGACACAATATCTTTATCTTGCGTGGTGCTGAGGATCAAACCCAGTACCTCACACATGATAAGCAAGTGCCACAGCCCCAGCCCTACAATACATTTTTAATGTTTGTAGATTTACAACTTTAAATTTTTATTATTTTGAATCTGTTGGGTTTTAGAGTGTTGCTTTCAGAAAAGTRATGCATCCTCTTTTGAATGTTGATTCATGTGACTAGAACTGATTTAATATCTAAGACAATAATCAACTTCTTTTGGACCTTATTTGAACCTGAAATTGTATCCAAAAAAGGAAAATGTCTCATAATTTTCTAAATATGAGTATGCAGAAAAGTTTGCACATTGCCCCAAACTTGTATGATATGGTAACATGTATTTGATCTAGGTAAATCTAAATTATGTTGAACATTACTTTAGAGTTCATATTCCTCTACACTAATGACATACATTAATATGACCATAGGACCTTGGGTCATTCAGGTCTGACCACACTGGTGTGGTTGGCATTGTTACCATTTCTTTATAAGCCAAGAATCTTGCACCTAACTAAACCTCTTCAGGACTCACTCTCACCGACAATAAAGGGTTGAAACTTTCCCTATATGTGGGTTAGGATAATTAAGAATGTAGATACAGGGGCTGGGGTTATGGCTCAGCAGTAGAGTGCTTACCTAGCACAGAATATAAATATACATGGATTAAGACTCCTCCTATCTGTACCAAGACTAATTTGGGGGTTGTGTGTGATTGCTCTCCATAGGGTTTTGGTAACGTGGGCCTGCACTCTATGAGGTATTTACATCGTTTTGGTGCTAAATGTGTTGGTGTTGGTGAATCTGATGGGAGTATATGGAATCCAGATGGTATTGACCCAAAGGAACTGGAAGATTTCAAACTGCAACATGGATCAATTCTGCGCTTCCCCAAAGCAAAGATCTATGAAGGAAGCATCTTGGAGGCTGACTGTGACATACTGATCCCTGCTGCTAGTGAGAAGCAGTTGACCAAATCCAATRCACCCAGAGTGAAAGCCAAGGTAAAAGCATTATAGAAATCAGAATTAGCTTTATAAATGTGAGATATTAACGAGGTCATAAAAAATTTTGTCAGATTATTATTGGTTTTCCCCACTCTTTAACTTTATTGCATATAATTTATGTCTCATAAATTTCACATTTAAAGGATATAATTTAATATCTTTTTAGCATATTTACAGAATTATGTAACCATCACCCAAGTGTAGTTTTAAAAAACTATGGAGATAGAAAAGATGAAATGAAAGATACCTTCCTCATGCTCTACAAAGATGCACTTTGTAGAGCAAAATAACCTGAATAAATAAATAACCTGAATAAATAAAATAAATGAATACATTTATTTATTTTTACAATATTAGGGATTGAACCCAGGGCCTCATGCCATTCTAAGCAAGCACTATATTACTAAGCTACTTCACAGCCCGTTTTGGGTTTTTTTTTTGTTTTGTTTTGTTTTGTTTTGTTTTTGTTTTTTAATATTTTTTAGTTGTAGATGGACACAATATCTTTTATTTATTTTTATTTTGAAACAGTGTCTCACTTGGTTGCCAATGCAACTCAGTGAGACCCTGTCTCTAAAATACAAAAAAAAAGAAAAAAACAGGCTGAGGGTGTATGGTCCAATAGTTAAGCTCCCCTGGGTTCAGTTGCAGGTACCAAAAAAATTATAATCTTCCATTCAGTTCTCTTATCCGTATGTGCATATCTATGATCCCTAGCCATATATGTGTTCCTGACTCTCTTGCAGATCATTGCYGAAGGTGCCAATGGACCAACCACTCCAGAAGCTGATAAGATTTTCCTGGAGAGGAACATCATGGTTATTCCAGTAAGTCATCTGTGTTCATCCAGATTTATGCATACTAGGAATTACAGTTGCTTTTTGCTAAGAATTAGGGGAAAAGAGAAGACTTACTCGTTTCCTCAGCTGATGAATTTTTTTTCTTTATGTTGCTTTTAAGAAAATGGAGGCAGCGGCATAACTAATTTTATATTGTATATGATATATTATTTCAATTTAAACCCTTAAGATATTCTGTATAATTCCTAACTTAATACATTTCAAGTGTTCCTTCTTGCTTTATTTAGAAAGCTCTTATGAGGAACATATGCTCAGGTCTTGGGGTATATTTTAAAGAGCCCTCTTTGCTGAAAACATTTAACTAAAATGGGCTGCTTTTAGGTAGTTGGAATGCTAATCTCCTGGTAAACTGCCTGTTGGTCTCGTCTCACCAAAATTGACCAAATATTCATTAATGACCCAAAAAAGATTTTCCTAAATGAAAAAAATCCTAGTTGAATTGTGAAGGGGAGTTTGTTAAATTATGAAATTGCTGATGCTATAGAAAATATAATTGGGAAGTTTAAACCTTGGTCCACCTTGGTATTAAAATTGAGTTCTTATGTTCATTTTAAGCTTTTGCTAAAGTCATCATCTTTTAATTTCTTTGGTGTCTTCCTGTAACATTTTATGTATAGGATCTCTACTTAAATGCTGGCGGAGTGACAGTATCTTACTTTGAGTGGCTGAAGAATCTGAATCATGTCAGCTATGGCCGATTAACCTTCAAATATGAAAGGGATTCTAACTACCACTTGCTCAGTGAGTCCCTATAATATCATTCTCCAAAAAACTAACCCTTTTGACCAGCCAAAAGGCTGGAGAAAGCATACATACACTCAGGAGGTCTTTTCCCTTTGGTAATCTTAGAGACTTCCATCTCAGAGTAGAAAACTCTTATTTATTTCTCTCTTAGGGATTAGACCAAAATACCAATTTCTTTGGGCAGTCAATGAATTGACTCTTAAATGTATTTATATTTAAATTTTTTTTAATATTTATTTTTTAATTTTTAAGTGGACACAGTATCATTATTTTTATGTGGTGCTGAGACTCGAACCCAGTGTCTCACGCATGCTRGGCGAGCGCGCCACCACTTGAGCCACATCCCCAGCCCTCAAATTTTTATTCTATGATTTTATATTTCCAGAACATAATCCACAAGTTAACAATGTTATAAAAAGTAGTATCTTAAATTATATGAGCTCCATTGTTTGATACTCATCCATTTCTGTCTCTGGTTGCTCTTAGTAAAGGCCTATCTAGTGTCGAGAATTTTTTTGAGTGTTCTGATGAGAATACTTGTTCTGATGAGAGTAAGCTACACAGTTAAGAGTAGAATTTCTCATCAGGCTAAAATGAGACCAAGACCTCCAACTGAGCAGCCACTCTGAGAATCTGGGTGAAGTGTTCTTCTRTTTCCTTTTCTTTTTTGCTCAGCATTTTCTTTTTAATAGAGCCAACGAAAAACCCTGGTAATGGGTGTTATGGAAACAGAGCAGTGACCTAAATTCACATTTACATAGGAATTTGGCAAAGATTTCTATTCCTTTTTGACTGAGTTTTTAGAGATTAACTCTTTTATATCTCTTTAGCATTGACGATTTCTAAAACTGTTTTGAAGAACTATAGATATAGTTTGGGGCTATTTATGGAGGTTTTGAGGTTTTTGTTGTTGTTTGTTTTTCTGCCCTACTAGCAATATTTTATTTTGATCTCTTGCTTTTTTATAGTGTCTGTTCAAGAGAGCTTAGAAAGAAAATTTGGAAAGCATGGCGGAACAATTCCTATTGTACCCACCGCAGAGTTCCAGGACAGGATATCGGTGAGTGTGGTAGCACCAAAGTAGCACATATGTTCCCTATCCTGATCTCCATACAGCAGGTTGACTGGAGTTGACAGGTGGTGGTCAACATGATAGTAATTGTACACTTTTTATATCAACCTTAAATAATGAATTGGTCTTCTGCTTTTGTTACTTTTTGCAATATAAGTGACTTTACAGTGATTCAACATAATCATGAATGATTGATATCTATTTTAATTTTTCTAAGCTTCAAAGAAACAGAATTTAAAAATAAACATTAGACTGGGCTATATGAAAATTTGAAATAGCTAAGTGGACACAAGAGATAAAACAGATTAAAAAAGGTATTTCGTATTAACCAGATGTTGACTTAATAGTGTAACGTACTGCAAAGAGAATTTCTTTACCACTCCATAACAGCAGATATACAACAAAGTCCTGTACGTACACTTAAATAAAAGTTTAACCCTCACTATTAACAAAAACWGCATAAACTGCCTATTGGTCCAGTCTGGGAACTTGGTAAGAAGAGACTCACACCAAAATTGACCAAATACTCATTAATGACCCAAAAAAGATTATCCCTGCATGTACACCTAAATAAAAGTTTGACCTCACTATTAAAAAAACAGCGTATCGTTTTGTTTGTTACTCTTTCTGTCAGAGTGACTTGCAGCACATTGGAGGGCCTCTTGAAGGGCTCACTTCTCCAATTAATCCCCTTACCTGGCATGTGTCTGATACATGCCTGGCACATGGTGATCACTCAGATTGTGCCTCAGGAGGGGCACAGAAAGAGAACAATTATCTGGTTGTGAGTGACCTTTTTAAACACAATTTTTGGGATTTTTTTTAGGGGGGACAGGTACTGTGGCTTGAGCCTAGAGCTACTTAACCATACCTCCAGCTCTTTTTATTTTTAATTTTGAGACAAGGTCTCTAARTTTCTAAGGCCGGCCTTGAACTTGTGGCCCTCCTGCCTCAGCTCCCAAATCACTGGGATTATAAGCATGCAGCACCACCACACCTGGCTTCGTACTTTTTAAATGGTTTTAGTGCTGCTAAGTTTAACTTTGTTATTTCTCACTCTTCGATGAGTTTGTTGTTCCAGGAAGTCTTATAATAAGTACAGTTGAAAACCCAGTTTTCCCCAACTCTGTCCATTGTATTCCCCCTCCCCAGCCCTTTAGCCCTTCCAGGCTTAAAATAGCTATTAACCCTGCCATCTTTTCACTGTCCCTCATCCACACTCCCTAATTTTCTCTTCTATCTAATGAAAGGCCCACAATCCATCATTACAGTAGTACTCCTTGGTCTTGTTTTGCTTTATCATATTCATTTCTTGTGAACAATTAAACAACCCCTGATAAAATCCCAGCTCTCCTTTTTCCATGCTTATGCCCACGTAGCTGGAGGCTCTGTTGACTAACCAGTCTCATTACTTTTCCCTATTGCATTCATTCTCTTCCTCCCCTGAATCGTGTATCATTTTCTCCTCTTCTTACCTACATTACAACTCTTGAGCTGGTATCTAATCAAAGAAAGTTAAAGAGAACTTGCACACCCAGTCAACTTTTGGTGTCTACCCTTTCCTGTGCCATTTTCCCTAAGGTGATAGATTAACTCTGTATGCTTCCATTTACACCCAGCTCTTGTACAGAATATTGCATGGCTTGTCCCACAGCCTCTTAGATATACTACACTTAACAAGTCTTGTCCTCTCTCCTGCATYATCAGTTTTCCCTCTACTGTCATTCTCTCAGTATACCAAGTACTGCTTGAAAAAGGTACATCTTAATCCTACTTCTTCAGTTATTGCCAATTTTATTTCCCATACACAAAGCCTCCTTAAAAGAGATATATACTGCATCTTCAGTTCTTCTGTACTTGAACCTACTCTACCAAAACTGTTCTTTTCAAGAGAACCAGTGACATAGCAATGCCCAGTCCAGTGGTCACTTTTCAGTCCTCATCTTGACTTATCAGCCATTCTTCTCACTGTTAAGGCYGCTGCCTGAGACTGTTTTCTTTCTACCTCACTAGCCATTCCTTTTCATTGCTTTTTGCTGATACTCTTCCTGTCTCCACCCTTTTAATACTAGATGCCCTCAGCCCCTGRACCACTTCTAAACCTAAATTTAAAACAGTGGGCACCTGTTTGGCCTCATGATTTCAAGTCCACACATGCATTTCACCACCACCCCCACTAAGATATAAACTCCATGAGAACAGAGAATTTTGATTGTTTTGTTCTCTACTGTGTCCATTTGTTTTTGATAGTGTGGATTGARCCCACCAGTGTTTAAACACAGAGTCACTTCCCCAGCTTTTTTTATATTTTGAGTCAGAATCTCACTAAATGTCTTAGGGCTTTACTAAGTTTCTGTGACTGGCTTTAAACTTGCAGTTCTGCCTCAGCCTCCTGAGTTGCTGGGATTACAGGTGTGTACCACTGTGCCCAGCCATATGTTTCCTTATTAATACATATGTTTTAGAAATATACTTTCTTGGGYTGGGGATGTGGCTCAGGCGGTAGCACGCTCGCCTGGCATGCGTGCGGCCCGGGTTCGATCCTCAGCACCACATACAAACAAAGATGTTGTGTCCGCCGAGAACTAGAAAATAAATATTAAAAATTCTCTCTCTGTCTCTCTCTCTCTCTCTCCTCTCTCTCTCTAAAAAAAAAAAAAAAGAAATATACTTTCTTAAATGAATACAGTATGAATTGGATGGTGTCGGGCAAAGATAACTTTTTTTATTAATGCACTTTGTTTTCTTTCTGACAGGTCATGAATGTATATTCTATGTCTATGTATGTATGGTACATGAGGAAGAATAGTGATAGATAACTGACAAAGGACAGAGATAAGCTGACTTGATAATGGGAAGCCCTGGGTCATTCCCAGTCTTAAAATAGCTATTGATAACCTTGCCCAACCTTTGGTCCTGGGTTTCCTCCTAAGTAAAATTAAAGAGCTGCTAAGATCATCTAGCCTTAAAGTTGGTGGCATTACTGAATACATAAGCAGGGTTCTACTCCAGAGCTGCTGTTGGCTTTAACCAGATTTTCTTCTGGTTAAAATGCAACTGCCTCAGTATCAAGATACTTTATCTTTTGCTAGGTGTGGTGGCACATACCTATAATCACAGCAATTTTGGAGAGTAAGGCAGGAGGATCACAAGTTCCAGGCCAGCCTTGGCAACTTATTGCAAGATCCTGTCAAAATTAAAAGTTGGGGATGTAGCCCAATGGTAAAGCACCCCTGAGTTCAGTCCCCAGCACCACTCCAAAAAAAGATACTGTACCTTGGGTTACAGATGTTACTTAGTGATAGACCCCTTTCCTAACGTGTCAGGCATTGGGTTTCATCCCCAGTACCACAAACCAAAGGAAAAACAAAAGCATACTGTTCCTTGATAGTGTACAGAAATTACATGTATCTTTGCTGAAAAACAAAACAGTTCTGTCTGTACATTAACTTAAGAATCCTTTGTACTTTTCTGGAGTCACAAAATACTTCTTCATGTGATTTTGTTAAATTTGTGTTCTTTTTTTCCTACAGGGTGCATCAGAGAAAGACATTGTGCATTCTGGCTTAGCCTACACCATGGAGCGTTCAGCCAGGGTACGTGAATTGATGCTATCTGACTTTCTGTTAGTGACAGGAATCATACATAGCTCAACCATATCATCTCAGTGGCCAAATTATATATGTAATGATAGAAAATAGGAGTCTGTCCTCATTTGTGTGCAGCAAAAAAAAAAAAAATGCCTTTTTTTTTTCTCTCAAACAATGAGTAGTGTTGTCAATCTTCAGTGTTTACCAAACTCTGAAAATAATAATACTGAGAGATAGGAGGGAGTGATTGGCAGTAATTAGCTAAATGTTGAGTAGCGGGGCCAAACTGGAATACAGCTCAGGTTTCACTATATTTCAGCTGTAGGAAGCTACCTTTCTATAAAATTTGGTTTAAGAGTTTTTTTGACTACTTGATCCTTGTTTCAAGCAAGGCCTTAAACACAGTTTGAATCCGTTTTCCTAATTTCTTCTTAAGCTCAGATTCTATTCACTTGCATTTCCATGTTGAAACAGCATAAAAACATACTGATGAAGCTAGGTGTGGTGGCTGAGGCAGGAGGATTGAGAGTTCAAAGCCAGACTCAGCAAAAGCGAGATGCTAAGCAACTCAGTGAGACCCTGTCTCTAAATAAAATATAAAATAGGGCTGGGGATGTGGGCTCAGTGGCCAAATGCCCCTGAGTTCAATCCCTGGTACCACACCACCCCCGTCCCCTCCTCCCCTCCCCCCCCCCAAAAAAAAAAATACTGATAAAGAAGGTGGTGCTCTTAGAATTGTTTTTGTTGTGATATAGCTAAAATGCTATAAATTCATCTGTTTAAAGTATATAGTTCAGCAGGATATTCACATAGTTGTGTTGCCATTACTACTATGAAATTCTAGAACATTTTCATCACCTCATTTAGGTTTTTTGAAACAATTAAAAAGTATATGATATACACAACTTAACAGTGCCTTATGGGCAGAGAGGCATTTGCATCTGCAATTCTGAGAATGGCTTTTTATTACTGTAATAAAAAGTAATCGTTGATAATAATTCCAGAGAATTAGTCCTTCCTGCCTAGAGGTTGTTGTATTGATGGCATAGTTTGTCTTTGGCTGCCCAGATCCCACTGTGGGGCTGTCACATGTCTTTTGTGTTCATGGCCCAACTGCTTGACTCAGGTGGTTTTCACTGCCTTTTCTCCTTCATTTCAGCAAATTATGCGTACAGCCATGAAATATAACCTGGGCTTGGACCTGAGAACAGCTGCCTATGTCAATGCCATTGAGAAAGTCTTCAAAGTATACAATGAAGCTGGCGTGACCTTCACATARATGGATCATGGTTAACTTCCTCACCACCCTCTGTAACTTCTGCTGACCTATCACAAGTTTACATGTAACTGCAGAAATCTTTCTCTCATGACTCATTAAACAATGGACACTGTTCTAAACAAGTCAATTTGATTCAGCCCCTTAAGAAGAAAGAAATTAAGTTTAGGGGATCGTATACAATCTGATGAGTGTGAAAGTAGAAATTACCTATTCCAGAAAGCCACTTAGGCAATTTGCTTTTAAATTAAAAGTATCTTCCACCTGACTATGCTGCCTTGCTCCAGGGCTCTTCCCAAAAATTAAAAAAAAAGGGTTGTTGCCAAGGAAAGCAGTCAAGAACAGTTACTCAGTTTTGCTCTGGCAGGTCTGGGACATGCTGTAACTTTGATACATGTGAGAATTAGATATATGGTTTTTGAAAGGTGGCATGGTCCTCAAATGAGTTATTGGTATTTTACATCTGCATAATAACTCAATTTTATAAGTTGCAAAAAAA